TGAAATACGTGATTTATTCCACAAAACTGAGCAGCGACCCTATAATCTAAGAGGAAGAGATGGATTTAAGATACCAAAGTACAATTACTCCATAGGAAGAACAACCTTATCCTATAGAGGGCCTACAGTGGGATATCCTACCTGAATCATTTAAACTTTCTGTTAGCTACGCAAGATTTAAGAACAACATAAAAAAAGATAAGACACTACTAGATAAATTAAGTTTCGCGAAGGAATCATGCCTGATTACAAACAAGGATGATGACTTTTATTATTTCTGAACAATTTATTCAATTTATTTAATTTAATTTATCTATTTATCCTTTCAGTTACTGATAATAGATTACAATAGACATAATAATTTTTACATACTCTTAATTTCTTATATATCTCACACCTGTATTTATCCTAGTTAATGCGATTAGACCTTAATGTTTTAAATAGGCAGGTCCACATCAGCCATTGGCTGACTTTTACCAACCTGCATTAACAAATAAACTATGTATGTATGTATGTAAGCTGTAATTATGTACCCTGTCCAAATAAAGTGCATACTTATTTCGTCGCTTACTTACAACCTCCCCTGCTGAGCGCAGTGTTCTGGAGACCGAATGAATGGTTCGTTTGCGCTCTTTTGGCTACTTCTGACAAACGGATATTAAATCGATGAACAATGACTGATCCGGGGAGAAAAAGGGGCTTATTAATCCACTGGATGACGCAAACCGTATAAATGATTTCTAGTTTTATTCGATCTATTAAGGAAAACGTTGCATAATATTAGATAGGGCTAACTACAGGGCAAACTACAACATAAGCGAACTACAATGATTAGTCACACATCATCGACCACTTACTTCTGTGACGATATCCTGCAGATTATTCCTAATCACTCGTAAACACGGGGTGGCAGTTCAATTGGGCATCCGGTTGGCAAAATCATATCAAACGCCGGTCAGCGAGAGAACAATTTAGCACGGAACGATTCCTTCTAAAAATTAACTTTGAACACGTTGCGCGATCTTACGAAGATACTAATCCCAAGTGTATAATGAACTAAATGAAAATGGAAATTAATTTTCAATCAATTATGACTCATATCTAATTATATATTTTTCTCAACGAAAAAAAGACAAAGATCAATTTTTGCAATTTGATTTTTTACATAGTGGCGACATTTGTCAGATTTGTTAAACCTCTTTCGTAGCACAGTGAACTGAATTGGCCATTTTCGACTTACAAACTTCATTTTTTACTTTGAAATGAGCCTAAAAGTAAATTATTTTACCTGCAAATGAGATTTATTTGTATGATAAAAAAATTAATGTCAAGTTTTTCATCAAAGGCCGAGTACCTGGCGTCGTTTAAATACAGAGGCTTAGGTCATCTTAGCAATGGTTTGTTTCCTGAGTTGCAGCAAAAAATTGTAACACAAAGACACCTCCATTTAGGACTCTTCTGGCGTCGTAATTTGATCTAAAATACTCAAAATCAGCACAATACTAATCGTCAAGAACGTCAAGTTTTANCCCCCCCTCCCGACGTAAAGCAACTCTTTGCCGGTAGACCAGAAGAATTACAAATGCCACCTTGATAGAGAGATCCTCGATTCCTTTGTCGGAATGTAAACTGTATTCAATTCTGGCCGTTTTTTCCCACAGAGTTTTACATTGTTTTGTACGATATAAATGTTCAATTTGGCTAACAACAACAGTATCCATGCTATGGCGGAAACTATTTTCTTGTATCGTGCAATATTCAATGCAGTCGGTGCAACGCAGGTTAGATCTGCTTGAACATTTTCCAATAATTTCGCGTTCAAGCTGTGCGTAGGTTCTTATTGACGGGAAAAAAAAGATCGGTGGTGCTTTTAATGGCCACCACGATGGACGGCCGTTTCCTTTTTCGCGGAAACATCTTGACATGAACAAAGGAAGTTAACTATGAAAATTTCAGAAAAGTATTGGAAATAGCTGATGATGTGTCATTCTTTATTAAATTTATTCTTCTTATTGAGTTTACATAAACATTTGGTAAATGGTATTTTTAATGCCACCTGCTAAGTAACTTGTCATGAATATTTTTGCTGAGGGAAAAAATCCTCCAGACCATACCTTTTACATTGTTTTGTACGATATAAATGTTCAATTTGACTAACAACAACTATCTAATTATATCCTTTACTGCTTTTTTCACCTCTCTGATTTTCCAGCAGTAAAGAATGGGGTTCAGAGATGAGTTTAAGTAAAGTAAAGATAAGGAAATGTTTAGAAGAATAAGTTCAGAAAACGCGTCAAGATATGCATACGATAATAACAATAAGGTAACACAAAATGGAGAGTAGCAAGCAAATAATCCAAGCTGTACCCATGCTATGGCTGAAACTGTTTTCTTGTATCGTGCTAAATTCAATGCAGTCGGTACAACACCACAGGGAGGCTGTTGTTGCTCTTGGTGGTGATGGCCTTGTACATAAAGCAGTTGTTGGCGGAGACGGAAATAGATCTTGGCGAAAGAGACGGTTGAGATGATAAGAGAAATAAGCATTAAAACAATATATACAAAAAAAGACAAATCACCAAAAATAGTACAGCCAACTAAAGCACCAACTAAAAACCAACAGAAGATAATTAGCGCTCGCACCCGCCTTAATGTAACAACGTGTCTGTATCTCAGACCCAACAACAGTGCGAGAAGTCTGTGCACACTTATTGCGGTTGATGTCAAGAGCGAGACTCCACAAAGTATTAGAGAGGAGACGGGCCATATTGTAAAAATAACATCTGGAATGGTGATGCCGGAGTTTGTTATTCCTTCGTCGATAAGGTTCACTGTAAACAGCGGTTGTGAAAGGAGTCCAACACAAAGATCGGTGACCGCCAAACATCGAAACAAAAGTTTCGTTGGAGGATGAATCGAAGTCACTTTGTGAAGAGCAATAAGGATTAGCACATTGCCCAGTGTCGTGGTGATGGCGAAGAAAATGTTGAAGGATAGAAACGCCGCATTGGTCCCCACAAGTGACTCCAGATAACTGACTTCAAATGAGGAGTTTGCATCATCATCAGTGGTGTTCAGCATTTCTCTAACAGCAACAGAGAGCTTGCTATCAGTGAGGGAGGTGTTGTTTACAGTCAAGGTTCCTGCTCCACTCCCTCTGATCACTTTGTCTGATCGCCTGGGTGAGAACAGTTTTGAGGAGGACAGTTGTCGGTATAGTAGTGAGGAAAGCGAAGTGTCTTTATCAGTCGCTTTCTGGAAGACTTGTTTCTGTACACTGATTGGTCAGTTTTGCTTTGATGTTATTGGCTGTGAGATTAAGAAATGGTTGGTCGTGTGGATCGGTTCCTTTGTTGCGTAAATATGTCGTGCGCGAGTACGTCGATTTTATGGTGCAGTTTGGCGTCCTTCTGAGNTTCACGAGTGGGCCTCCATTCTTAACATTAAGGGTCAAGCTGATGTTATCAAACTCGATATCAGCAAGGCCTTCGACAAAGTATCTCATCCAAAGCTCTTACATAAGTTAAGTCACTATGGTATTCAAGGCCAAACCTTATTATGGATAAAGGGTTTCTTAAGCAGCCGCTCCCAAAGTGTCAGTGCCACTGACGGCGTACACTCTACCCTGTGCAAGGTTATTTCAGGTGTTCCACAAGGGTCTGTCTTAGGCCCCACGCTTTTCTTGATGTACATAAATGACATCGTGGGTGACATCAAGTCAAATATTAGACTCTTTGCTGACGACACCATTATGTACCGACAGATTGTATCGCCTGCGGATCATCTTATCCTTCAACAAGGCCTTGACAGACTAACTTCATGGGCCTGTCTTTGGCAGATGGAGTTTAATGTTAAGAAATGCTACCACATTTCCTTGACCAACAAGCGAACCGTTTTGGCGCACAGTTATTCTCCGTTTATACGAACTGTTCGGGTATGGAATAAACTGTCAACTCAAACAGTCCAAGCTGAGAACATTACTTCTTTCAAATCATTAGCTATAAGGGACATTCAGAACATGAAGAACCCGAACCACCTGAAAAGATTTTTAACTATTTACATTTATTGTTTCTTTTAGACTTCACGTATTTATCGTAGATTATTAGCACTACTAATTAGTTATTCTATATCTCCCAGCGTTAGCCCAGCTATTTGGCAGTATAAGTTCCAAGGATGTTTTTGTCAATCTTCCCACGGGCTTTGGCAGAAGTCTAATATATCAACTGTCACCTCTGGTTGCGGAAGAGATGTCGACAAGGCATCAGAGAGCTTTAGATTCGAGTGCGAGTGCGAGTACGAGTACGAGTTTTAACCGCGCGAGATCTGGCACTAGTATCTCGTACTCGTAGTCGTGCTGACGAAAATTGTAACTTGAGATTCTGCACAAATGTATCGATCCGAGTGCGAGGGTTTTACTCTAACAATCTCGCCATGTTTAGCCAAAAAAACTATCCTATTGGCATCCGTTTACCTCCTTTGCGATTTATGAAATCCCAACGATGAGAAGGCAACATCCTTACAAGCAGTATGAAAGGATTGACGATGTTTTGACGCCATTTCTCCTGAAGAGTTTGCAGCCGAGCTCAGGTTTGTCATCACAGGCTTGCCTCTCCTTCTTCGGGCATTAGCAATTCCAGAAATGTTTACTTGTGCCAATGGCACGGTATGTTCAGGAACGAAAGGACTGTTGATTTTATTGAAACTTTTTTCTTACCCATGTCGTCTCTCGGATATGATTCCTCGCTTTGTTCAGTGCCCGAGCTGAGCTTAATCTTCAACGAGGTGATCAGCTTTACTTACACAAACCATGGATACTTGCTCAGAGATCTCGATCAACCCTGGCTGAGTAGCCAACATCTGGAAGACTTTGCTCTTGCTGTCCATGGAAAGGGAACAGCTCTTGAGAATTGCTAGGGGTTTGTAGACCTGACAGTTCGCCCAATTTGTCGCCCAGGAGAGAACCAGCGTGTACCCAGTGGGCACAAAAGGGTACATGCCCTAAGGTTTCAATCATTTGTTGCGCCAAATGGTTTAATAGCCAATTTGCATGGACCAGTTGGTAAGCTAATACGATTATTTGCATCGTTCTGCTGTAATGCCTCCCCTTATTTAAGCCGAGTGCGTTCATAATGTCTGTCTTCAGCG